AATAACTGGTTGATATTTCTTTCAAAGTCAAAGGGCATTTTCATTTCATTAACACTCGGTGTCAGATCGAGGCTAAAATTCATGAGTTTAGACATTGAATTCCATATGATACCGTCTCTGGCTCCTAGTGTGTAACTACCATTTCCGTGATCTGTTATATGAAGGAATGGTTCCACTTCAGAAGTGAGAACTCTGAACTTGTAGCCGTGAAAATTTTTGCCTTTTTCTTCAAATAAATTCAACGTGGTTAGGATTTCGGTTGCATTATATGGGACTACGATTGTACTAAAACCAATACAAGTACCAAGATTATCAGCCCTCAGTTTGGAGATTATGGATACATTGTGACATTTGTGCTCACAAGTAAATCCTTCATGAAATCTTGTTACAGGAATTCCAATCTTCCTAGTAGTCCAGCAGCCGTAAAGATTATCTAGCTTGTAATCGTCACTAATGAATGGGCTGTAGTAAGATATAAGTAGCACTTCATTTATATCATGATATTGAACGATTACGACGTTTACGGCTTTGTAATAAAACAAACTGAAATATATTTTAGCCAGAATGTCTTGAGTTTTTTCGTGAAAATAAATAATTATGTTTGAATGCGGATGCCAATAAGGGGAATCCCTTAGTTTCAATAATGTGTCTTCGTACTCCTCAATGTCTACTAGATTTATGACAATAGTATTGGCATAATATCGAACAACGTCTTCGTAGTATTCGTCCTCACGATCTAGACTGGATAATGCAAAGGGATAAGAAGTTTTTTGTAATTTGATATAAAAATCATCAGGAAAGTTTCCAAAGCACAGTATAGTTGACCAACCATTATTTCTTATGTTTATTGTTACTATATCAACCTGGAACAAAAGGGGACTTGGAATTACTTCGGTATTTTAGAATTTTAAAATAAGTGGGTAGTATAAAGTAAACATTATATTTATTACCTAAGTCAATTTCAGTATTTAATAAAAGGTTAATAGGGTATTTTACTGACATAAAAGTGGGTATATCCATAGGCTATGTCCATTCCATTCCGCATATAAACAATCTTAGAACTTTTTTTTTTATTGATCACCAATTATTTCTGGAAATTATTTTTCTCCATAAATAAACAAACATACACACACATTCACTGCAACAATAGGTAGTTTTATCAAATGGAACCTTATTTAAAAACGTATCTATATCTGATAACACAACGTCTGCCTGTGACATCGTTTCCGAGGTCTGGTCCCCAAGTTGGTTGGAGCAGGGCGTGCAATGGCGCAGCTGCTGCCCGACATGAGGGCACCCGATGACTCCTGCAGGAGACTCTATTCGGGGGTTGTGCGCTCCATGGCCCTTTACAGGGCCCCAGTATGGGCGGAGGACCTGAAGGCTAGCAACGTCGCACTACTGCGACGACCGCAGCGAATGCTCAGGGTCATATGGTACCGCACGATCTCCTTTGCGGCGGCAGGTCTCCTGGCCGGAACACCACCGTGGGTCCCGGAAGCGAGAGCGAGAACGGTAACATGATTGCCGACATGAGTCGGAGGAAGAGTTCGTGGAATTTCGCCGTCTCCTTCTGCCAGCAAATTATGCTTGCGAAGGAGATAACGACCGGGAGAGGTTTGGAACTATCTCAGCTCGCCAGGCGCGGGAACGTGCCAGGTACCACAGACGACTCAGGTGCCGGAGGTCGCAGAACGACCTCCTTCCTGATTAAGCGCAGGCCTCATGTATCGGCATTGTCATCGGACGATTTAATGATAATCATGATTTTGCACCAATTACGGACCAATGCTTCAAATTCTTAATTCAATTTATACTTACGATCATATTAATCCGCAGAGTTTCAAAATTAGAATCATATCTGTTTAATAACTGTAGTTGTCCATTTACACTATATAACTGTATCATTACAATGATAAAAGAAAATAATTTCATACTTATTGTATTTATATCGTTAGACCACTTCATACGAGATCGTACTCTACAAAAATGCCTGATCGAATAATATTGATTTGTAATGGACTCATCATGATACTCACCTATAATTTATGTAAAATATTAGATATCAGTATAATTTTCAAGATTATCAATGTAATTGCCAGACTGGGGCATTAGTTTATTGGGGTAGATTTTTGTAGATTTTTCTACTTATGTAGGAGTATTTATATGTTATTGCTGTTATGAGATACCTAATTGGTAAAAGTACAGAGTTAAGGAATAAGTTATTTATGCTATATGTTATTGCTGTTATGAAATACCTAATTGGTAAAAGTACAGAGTTAAGGAATAAGTTATTTATGCTGTACTTATCTGTGTGGTAACGGATTGAGAATACGGAGTATCACCACTCCTATTCATCCCATGGGTGTCGTACAAGCCGACTAAGGGACCAAACTAAGCAGGACAACAGTGCTTTGCAGTAACAAAGAGAAGGAAAACACAAACACACAAACCCTGTACGAACCCGTCTAGCCAGTGTGGTATATTAGGCCAAAATCTCCTTTAAGGAGAGGCCTATGTCCAGCAGTGGACTATTAAAGGCTGTGATGTGATGATGTGATTGCTGTACGTACATATATGGAGGGACTGATTGTTTAGGAGATGAAACAAATTGAAATAGAAGTTTTTCTGTTATAGGGGGTAAACGAGGAGACGAATGACCTGATGGTAAGTAGCTACCGGGGCGCATGGACTCTTACAACTCCAAAGTGGCAAGTGCATTGCCCCCAGGGCTCAAGCCCCCTCAGAAATAGGGAAAAAAAGAGTTTAGGGTCATCCCACCGGGATTTGCGGCAGGGCGGTGTATCGGAATTGAACTGACTAAAACCATTCAGTATGCCACTCTGTGACTGAAATAGGAGGAATGCGGGCACAGATGTTACTAAGACATCCGGACGGACAACCCTTATCCAAACCGAATGGAGATGCTGGGTCGACCGCCTTTATCGTGCGATGCGATAAATACGTCCCCTTTTTGGAGACTTTCATACTCAGCTACTTGCAGGAAATGGTTGAGGGTCTTTTCTTCATTCTTACCACAACTGACTGGTGGAATGCACACCCACGTGGATTGCCACCTTGGCTGGAAACGACGGGAAGAGCATGAATAATGTGCCCACGGATGTGGAGGCAGGGGCGGCTCTTCTACAGTTCCGTTCCAAGAACACCCGTCTGGTGCTCGATGGTAGCTTGGCTGAAAGAGCGGGAAGCTGTTTTTGTTAACGAAGCCGGGACAACTTACTAATTCGATCGCGGCCATACAGGCCCATCGTATTGCTGTACGAGGCGGGTAAATTATTTGAGAGGGTTCTCTCTACCGTATCGTCCAGCCCGGATCTGTCGGACGTCAAATTCTTGCGGAGTACCGTAATTGCAACTACTAATTTGCGTAATTGGACTCCTCAATTACGTGAATTGCTAACTTTGACAACCTAGGATCTGTAAGACAGATAATCTTTAAACCAATCAAGCACAATCCGCCTAATACCAACGTTCTCAAGGCGTGAAAATAAAATAGGGATGGACACGGTATCGAATGCTTTTTGAAGCTCTAGAAAACCTCCTAACCATTATTCTCCTCTATCCAGGTATGATACCACAGTGGAGCTGAGCGTATGGAATGCGACTTCTGTAGATTTTTGGTGCCTGAATCCGAATTGACGATTACTAAGAATTAAAATATATAATGTTAGATCTTCATCCCTTTTTTAATCTTAGTTTTAAAACCTGTATCTTTTTACATTTTGATACTTCGAAACCAATCTTTTTTGGATAATCTTACACAAATAAAAGTACTAAAACTCTTAACTTGGTATATATATTATTTATTGTTTGATTAACTAACCTTAAAATTAATATAACAAAAAACTAACATGTTAATTTACTATGGCTGTGTTGACTTATTATACGTACACAATGAGCAAACCTGACATTCTGTTACAGCATCAGAATTATAACATATATTTTATAGGTTTAACATTTATTTGCCAATATAATGTATGTTAAACCTTCGGCATAGATGCTATGTTGTCTCAAAATAATATATGTTTGTAAACATAATTTTTTAATAAGAATAATATGTATGTTAAAATGCTGTTATTTGTGTTATATAATCTGTTGTCTGTTTCTGTACCTGTTCTATAAAAATAAAATTAAATTAATATCCATATACAATGAATCACATAATATGCGAATGGTCTATCAATTAAATGCTATAAAGTTTGTATCAACAGAGTAATATAATAATAATCAATCATAATTCACAATGCTACGTATTTTTATATTTTCATGCTTATGACAAAAAACAAAATTACGATAAAGTATATTTATTAAAGATATATGGTTTTGTATTTTAGTGATGTCTGATTAATAGCGAGCCCTATGGACTTTTCTTGTGTGATAGGGGTAAACAACAGACGTGTTGCCTAATAGTAAATGACTATCGCAGCCTATGCACAGATTCATGAGATACAATTGCAGTGTGGTGGTGCGGTGCCACATTGTAATCGACGCTTAAGTAAATATTCAATCATAATTCACAATGCTACGTATTTTTATATATTCATGCTTATAGCAAAAAACAAAATTACGATAAATTATATGGTTTTGTATTTTAGTGATGTCTGATTAATAGGCCCTATGGACTTTTCTTGTGTGATAGGGGTAAACAACAGACGGTAAATGACTATCGCAGCCTATGCACAGATTCATGAGATACAATTGCAGTGTGGTGGTGCAGTGCCACATTGTAATCGACACTTGAGTAAAACCACATTTCTTTAGTAAATTTGAATATTGCACACGAAAATTATTTTTGCAAAATAAAGTAGTAATTTGCGTTGAAATGACTACTTTATGTTGCAAAAATAATTATAATATTATATATATAATAAATAATGCAAAATTTTTGCATTAAATAAAGAAAAAGAACCTTTTTTCATCAATGGAACACATTTTTCAAAAAAAACAGCACGTTTTATAAGTATATTAGTAGGGCGGGCTCAGTTTCTTGTAGCGAGGTATTCTTGTAACTGGTCCCAGGCTCGGTCGATCTGTTTCTGCGTGTAGTCATAGCTCCAGTACGGACTGAACACGATGTTGGCAAGGGCGATCTGTTCCATGTTCGACGGCTGAGCGTCCACTCTTTGTCGAGCTTCTTCCTCAGACAGCTTGTTGCGTTCCTGTATTCTTTTAATAGCCTGGAAATGGAAGGTAAGCTCTATAATAATTTTATTCACATCAGTAGGAAAACGTACTACGCTAACGTTAAAAATGTAAAAAAGTCCAACGTCGCGTATAATAGTTCAACAGTTTAGCAATAGATGGGGTATTTTAATAAAAATGTAAAACTACGTTGGCATTCTTTTTCATGGCATTGGTAAATTTTGTTGAAAATAGTCTTAATAATTAATTTAGGAAAGAAGTACATTCATAAATAAATATGTCAAATGCTTACCTCATCCCTAGGTATAAAGACAGTCCATAGCTGGTGGCAGTATTGGTACCACTTAGCACGTACCATGACCGCGGCTTCCATGATCACGACCCGATGTCCTTCGTTACCCAAAAGTTGAATTCGACGCTGTGTCTCTGCGATTACCTCCGGCCAAACTAGGCTATTTAATTTATCTAGTTGATCCTGAAATTAAATTTCAAGAAATTAAATTAGATAACACATGTAAATACAATAAATTTTACAGACAAAAAAATCTTTGACGTACGAAATTCTCGAGACAAAAAGCGATATTGCAATTAAAACTCTAAATTTGTTTCCTTTAATTAGTCTTGCTTTGTTGCTGTTTAAATAGTTATGGTTAATAAGCAGTAGAATCACCAGCATATTTATAAGACCATAAGTGACTCCAACCGTGTGTATGTCGGTTATCGCGGTAAAATGTAGCCTCGATCCTTTCCCACAAATCAAACTATCTCTATACCAAATTCCATCTAAATCGGTCCAGCGGTTATTGATTCCCCCATACAAACTTCTGGGGTAAAAAAATTTTTTTGTCCCTTCCCGGTACTCAAAATATATCTATACCAAATTTCATCTAAATCGGTTTAGCGGTTTAAGCGTGAAGAGGTTACAGACAGACACTCTTTCTCATTTATAATATTAGTATGGATAACTAAATAAAAAGGAGTCCCCAGGTGGTTAATAAAGAATTGCTGTTTTAAATGTGTATCTGTAGAACAATACGTCCACAACTATGTTTGTCATAAGTGTATAAGTGTGCGGTAATTAATTCTCATTATCAAAATATGTTTACTTTAGAAACAACACTTGTTCTTGTTATAATATCTTTAGTTTGTTTAGTATGCTTTTGTTCGCTTATAAGTAACTATGTAAACAACCTTAGAAGTCAATTTTAACCTATATCTAATTGTTTTCATAATTTATATTTGTACGTCTTTGTGGTTTGCATAACAATACCTATAATTTTGCATCTTTGAGCTGATCTTACGACGGAAGCCAGGATGTTAACATTGGAACTTTGATAATCGAAATTAAGTAGTTTTTTTTTAGTTTTACTGATCTGGATCTAAGACGGTTTGTGAATAAACAGAAAGTAGATTGACAAACCTTATCGCTAAAAACGATCTGTCCCAGTTTTTTTCTATCAATCTCGCCGGAATGCGTGAGGATGTCTTGACCAAAATTCTCCGCTAAAGTTCCATTGAGCGGCAACCCTGGCTTGTACAACTCGTGGGCAATCAAATCGCAATCCACTATGGCTGCACCTTTATTTCTGTTATAAGAAATGAGTAGGTGTATAATGTAGTCAAAATTCGGTTCCGATCTACTCTCGATATCACAAATGTTATAAATGGTATTTTCACAGTAAAATAGTAAAGTATTATTAATAGTAAACATTACAGTCAACATTTGATGTTTACTAAAGTAAAGAATACCAGAATACCTTTTACGGCATTTGTGAGATCGAGAGTAAATCAGAACTGAAATTGGACCCAATTTTTTTTTACGAGAATTGGTCGGCAGGTTATTTACGTCACAGGCTGGCTAATAGTCAGCCTGTGACGTAAATAACTTCTAAAATAAGTAACTTCTTTTATTTCTTGGCTTTTCATATCTTCTATATTTATAATATTTAAATTTTCACGTGTCTAATGTCTCTTTCACATCAACACATCAACAGCCTTTAATAGTCCACTGCTGGACATAGGCCTCTCCTTACAAAGGAGGTTTGTAAGGAGAGGCCTATGTCTAATGTCTCTTTGCGTTTGTGTAATTAAATGTAGAGACGATAATACGAGAGAAGGGAAAGTTTCTGATTACGAATTATAATATAAAGGTTTTTGTATTATTTCGTATTACGATTTTAATAAGAAATTGTATTGCTCGGTTTTCGAATAAAATTTATAAAATAAAATAATAAATTAATTTTATTATCTTTTTTAGTATTTGTTGTTATAACGGCAAAAGAAATACATCATCTGTGAAAATTTCAACTGTCTAACTATCACGGTTCATGATATACAGCCTGGTGACAGACGGACAGCGGAGTCTTAGTAATAGGGTCCCGTTTTACCCTTTGCGTGAGGAACCCTAAAAACCAACATTAATATTAGACACACCAGTAATTAAAGTTTTTGGGTGATACCAGTTAGTTTAAACCTTTTTAAACTTATTATATACTTCACTTTTTAAAATATGTATAATTGACAGATATTTGAAATGAAATAATGAGATTGATAGAAAAGAGAGAAATAGACTCACTTTAATTTTTGTGCTACACTCGACTTCCCACTACCTATTCCTCCTGCCAATCCAATGACATAAGGCCAGTCTGGAATATTTAGATTTGGCTGTAAGAAGATAATAACTAGTATAAATTAATGAATTCTAGATATTAACTGATGCTGTTTAATTGCATACAAATATCTCGTGAGGATAAGCCCAAGAAACACTATAATCTTTTGTATGCATTTAGGAAAAACATAAAAAAACTTGATCAGTAAAAAAATGTGTTTTCTAGTATTTCTTAACATAGCCGAGGAACATCTTACCACAGGAGGCCTCAACAATGTGCCGAGGAGTCTCATGCGTTGATTGCTCGAGCTGACTTTGTTCTCCTCTTCAATGTCCTTCTGAGGGCTCGTGTCTGGTGCCAGCCCGATAACATGGACATCTATAGGTGCCAGACCACCTTCTACTCGTTTTTCATTTATTTTCGAAGCTCCTTTAGCAGTTTCTTCACTGACAATGATTAGCTGAAATCATGCTTTTTATTAGTACTATTTAATTCAAACGCTACCTTCCTATTTCAAAGAACGATTCGAACTTCTTCTTTTCAATTTACAACAATTTTTGTATGCAATAACCTTTACGAACAATACTAGATACACTACCTACACACAAAAAAAACAAAACTTTTTTCGCGTTATTTCCTAGAACTGTGACTAAACGGATGGAGTAGTGTTTTAAGCGGTCGCCACGCCGCTTACTCCTATGCGAGTGTTTTGGGTCCGATCCCCACATGGGACGAGGCTTCCTGTGATACACAAATTGTTGTCCTGAGTCTGGGTGTTCTGTGTCCGTTTCATGTGTTTTGTAAAGTCCCCCGCGACACAGGATATTTGCCTAATGCGAGAGTTGTTTAAAGAAAAAAAATGGAATCGTGGCTTCTAATATTCTTTGGACTAAAGATCCAAAAACTAGAAACTTTGGAGGTTTAACACGCTTTTTCTAGAGTTTTTACTTTGTAACAGCCTGGCAAAAATCGAGTTTCTTTTTGTTTATATTCTATGAATTTATGACCATATACTATTAACGTGCACGAATACATTTACCTATGTTTAAGATACAAAAAATGTATTTTTAACTTTTGATAGGTCGTAATTTCTTTAATATATTTCTTGTTTAAGGTTTTATCATCATTTCTATACCTGCTGTAAGTAGCTAATTTTATTTTCGCCTTTTGTAAAAAATAATAAACAGATAACACGGTTCAATATTCGTCGGTTGAAATAAAAATTAGTACGAAAATACAGGAATGCAAATTTAGAACCAACTAAATACAATAAAATAATTTCCATTAGAATTAGAACACCACTGATGACATGAGTCGGTGAACTCCACACTAGTGATGTGCCGAGTCGCTGTTTTGGTGGATCGAATCGACTCGAGTCGGTTTATACGATATTCGAATCATGACTCGATTCCGCGATTCGAGCCCAGTACTCGAGTTCTATAATTGGTATTCGAATGTTAACTCTAGTCCAGGACTCGAGTTTAAGACTCGAGTCTAAAAATTCGAGTCCAGAACTCTAGTCTGGAAATTCGATCTAGAACTTGAGTCTAGAAATTCGGGTCCAGAACTTTTCTCCCCTGGGATAGGGCTTGATTAGGCATGGTGTCAATTCGGGGAGGACCTGAAATAACATGGTCCGGGTCCTCCCCAGAGTAGGACACCTGAGGCCGGCCGTCGGGGTGGTTTTTAGTGGAATCACCACATACTCTTGGCTCATAGTCCCCGAGGAGCAAGAGATCCGAAGAGATTTTGCACCACAACAACAAAAAAAAAAGGAGTCACATCATTCCTTATGTAAACAGATATCGAGTACGAGCGAGTCAACCTAACTCGTATGCTAGATTCGAGTCACATGGAATCGCTAAACAGAATCGAGTCAGCGAGTACAAATTCGATTCTTCCTGACTCGAGTGACGGAATCGAGTCCGGCGTACTCGAATCAAAATAAATTGGTATTCGAATAAGCGAGCCTAAAGCAGGAATCGAGTCTGACTCGAGTCAAGCCCTACTCGGCACATCGCTACTCAACACGGCAGTGTCGCAATGTCGGGGACATCAAAGCGACGCCGCCGCCGCCGCCGCGACGAGCCGGCGAACTTTACATTCTTATTACCTGCCTACTAATCACTTCACTTGCTTTTTTAAATCTATTTATTAAGAATACGATTTTATTCACGTGTTTATTTTGGAAATGCTCGACTAGCTTCGGACCCGGTAGTACGTGTCACTCCTTGAAAACTGCCCCAATGAAAATTATTGCTATTAAATATGTTGAGTCCAAATCAATTGGCTGATTTCTTAACTTAACCTTTCTCTGTAAAGAAATTTAATTCAAACAGAGATAAGATGTTGAGAAATGTTTGATTTGATTTAAAATAACATGTTTATTTTCTGAAATTGTTTACTTAAAAGTAAAGTAAATTATTAAATCTACCTTGTAATTAAGTGCGAGTGTTGAAATTATAAATTTATAAAGTTGTTCATGTCTTTGAACCTTTTTGTTGTGGGCTGCTTTTATAAATGTGTAAGTTAAGATTTTTGCAGCCTGGTTTATATTTTTGTTTTCTTGCGAATATAGACTAATGTCACTTGTGAGCAAATATATTTTATCGTGTTTGTAAAGAAATCTAACAAGAGTTTTATTGAGATACTGCATAAATCCAATAGTTTGCTTCAAAATAATAAAGAAATGTCAAGATCATGAGTTTTCTTTTGGAACTTTCTGACCCTCCCACTGCTTTATATTACGCTTAAATCGTCAGATTTTTTTAATACACACTAATGTGCATGTAATGTGACTCAACTTACCTTAATCTTATATGCTCGAGAATTTTTAGCCATCAATTTTACTAACTAATATGATGGGCAGCCCTAGACGACCCCCCCTATATGTAGGGCTCATGTTTGGTGGAGGTACTCAACTGGGGTGTAAGGTATTCCTCCTATGTTAATCTGACACGCTCGAGTAAATCCAGAAATCCCTTCTAGGGCTGCCCTACTATAATGCAACTTAGCCTTGTGTGAATATGTGTGACAAGAATATTTCATTTTTTTAAATGCTTCTTACATATCTCATCATAGCAATTGTTATTTTTTTTTAGCGGCCTAAAATTATTTTTAGGTAGGTAGGATTGAACACACACAGGTGACAACACTGGTGTTACGAGCGTTTTTTTACCTCAGTAATGCCATGTGATTTCCTATCAAGCCATAGGCCTCGCCCATTCATTTGCAAGAAAAAGTTGGAACTTCTAAAACTTATAATACTCTAAAACTACGAAATTTTTACACAGTTTTTAACAAAATCTTACCTCATACTTAGGATCATCTTTAGTAGGGCCATAAAGATCCTGCAACGGGAACACATTGTATTCAAGATCTGGGTTAATATCCTTCAGAAAATTCAATACTACATTTATCCTTGTTTCCACAGGTTCTATTAACTCCCATAGCTTTTTAGCTGTAATCAATTATAAAGTAAAAATTTAAAATACCTCTGACTCAATCCCTTAAATGATAAGAAAAGAGTTAAAACAACGTTTACAGCAAATGGTTGACAAGATTAGACTAAAATCTGAGCTAACATTATCATAAGCCAGTCGATGTAAAATAATAAAATTAATAACCAGTTACTACCTTAATATACATGTGTATAGCAGTTGTGCATAGATTGTACATGTTTCAAATAACTGTACAAAAAATGTTTGCTTTCTACCATAAATACTGTACCTAATTCTAATGAACTGACTAAATTAAAGGCCATTGTAGCAGAAGCTCATAATTCCAAAACGGATGCTTTTTTCGGAGTTTAAAATCGAACCATCAGCATTTGGTTCGGGAGAAGGTTCAATTTTATTAGATTTGACAACTCCCGCACTAGGAATAAAACCACTACGCATCTATGCAGTCGAAATTAAGTTTGTCTTTGTATTATGTTGTAAATTACTAAATAATTTTCGAAATATTTAATACGCAACAATGTTTATGCTCTAAAATGTTGTTCCTTACACTGTATCATATTAACATCAGTGACTCCCACCGTGAGATGTTTGGTAGATCTTAGAGCTGCTTGTGATAGTAATATCTTGTGTCCGTTGTGCAACCGATCAAATGTGCCGCCAACAGCAACATTCTCATATCTTTTTACAGTGTCTTGGCTGGCTTCGTGGCTTGGATCTTGGAAGTCTATTTTGAAAGAAAAACATGTCATAAAATTTAATGCAGTTAAGAAAAATCTCAAATATTTTATAAAGGATAACAATTTTTTTCCTGTCATCAAGAAATTGGCTCTTAGACCCAATGAATAATCTTTAATTTTAACTAGTGGTTGCCTAGATGTCGGGATTAGACTATGATTTTTAAATAATTGATATTAAATAATGCTGCTTTTATCTAGTAATTTAGAGAACTATCAATTAAGTTTTACATCACATTATTATCATCGGTAGAATATCAAAAATGGGATAAAAGCAGCCAGTTTTAAAATAGATGCATTGCAGACCAAAGTCTTAATAGGACAGTCTTTTTACCCTGTCTGCCAATATCTGCTTCTCATTGCCACTGTTTATAATCTAACTAATTACTATATTCTTGCATGCTTAGAATACTGACCAATACTTTGAAGTTTACAGTCATCTTCAACTGTAGTTACTGATGCCTTTAGTTGTTCCACTTCCTTAGCCAATTCACTGTCATAAAGGATCATGTCTATTGCATAATTTGTTTTTATTTCCTCCTTTAACTGACTAGGCTTCAACATAAGTCTTACATCCAGATTAGAGCATTTCGCAGAAGCCTAAAACATTTACATAAACTGTATTATAATACATTACTATACTGTCAGTCATTGCATTTTATATTCATCATCATCAACAGACTTTAATAGTCCAATGGTGGCCTCTCCTTAGAAAGGTTTTAGCCTACTATACAAGCTGGCAACACCAACCCATCTTCTGACCAATCCATATAGGGATTTTTTAAGTTTTCCTTCTCCTTGAAGTGCTGATGTGATTTGCTCATTTAGGCGGCTTTATTATATTATATTACAGATATTATGTAAAACTTAATAATAGTAATAAAAGTGCAAATAGTTACATAAAAAAACTTACTGCAGCCATTACTTTTTATAGCTCTTAGTTAGTATAATATAAAAATAAACAATAGAAGTACAATAAAAAAACTTACCCTAGAATACAAAGTGTCTATTTGATTACTAATTGCAGGTAAAGCACTTTCCAAGTCAATATTATCTTTAATATTCACATACAATACTCTTCGTACAAACTGGGACACCTTCTGACAAACCATATGAACTTTCCCAACATTGGATATGAAGAGAAGACCATTATTTGCCATTTCATCTGTAGCAGAAATATTAGTCTGTTTAACAGTACAAGTGCTTACACAAATATAATGAAATAATATTTATACCTAGGACATATTACAACACAATGACTATGCTGGCACGAACTAAGCCTAGCTTGTATGAATTCTAAGGTGTGGGGTTTGCGATACATCCACACATTAATGATCTATGATCTCAGATATACGAATGATTATTACATTTCCTAATTAATGTGGAAAAAATAATTATTCTGAATTAACTGACCTACCTGTTGTATTCATCATAAAAAAATACGTCACAATAAGTGTAATTGATAATACTCCTAAAGGTGTTGTATATGCTACATTGTGCATGTCATCAACGTGAAGTCCAAAGGTTGCAGTGTACCACAATAATTTTAATTAAATTACGAACTATTTTACAAAAATTAACTATCATACCTGCAAAAAACTTATAATACTGTAACAACTAATGCCTTGCGATATACAATTAAACAAAAATCAAATAAAAGGGATTTACATGATGTGCTATTATATTAATGACAATTAGTTTGGTTGTTGAACAAACATACATTTAAATAGTAAAAGTTGGTCCACAAATATTACCTATTTGGAAATTAAATAGTTTAGAAATCGATACAAATGAAGAATAATGCTTATTAGGTCTCAGTTAATTTGATATTCTTACATGCAAAATGTATAACCTTATAGTAAGTTATTAATAATACATCAAGAAGTAAATAGGACTCCTCTTTAAAATGTACGTATTTGACATTGTCATTATTTTGACAAATTACAATTATTGCTACTGATAAAAATTCTCTACTACACAGATAATAATGACAAACAGTTCTACTTTGAAAATGACAATTTATACATTCACCTCATTCATTCAAAAAACGCATAGTCATTACTCTCAATAGATGGCGTTGTAAAATGACGTCACGTACTAAATTGCGGTGTTAAGAATCTCCACTAGTGAATGACGTTTGTCTTATTATTTTAAAATGTTATCGCTTCTCGGCCTTTTGGCTAAGATCAAAGTGTAGTATCTGTTCTTTTCAGCTTAATATCTGAAAGTTCCCTCACTGAGGGACCAGTATATTAAACTGATTTTTGTAAGCTGACGGGATGTTCGGGGCTCGCTCCACTCCCGTCGCGGGTCGGCCCGGCATTGCAGTGCCGCCGGGATCGGCCCTCTTAATTCTCTTGAACATATTAAATATAAGAAAAATAAAACAAGGTACATTTGGCGTAAGTAGCTGCTTCCTCACTTGCCATCTTGACATGTTCGCGCGAACGAGTGAGTGAAATGTGTTGCTGAGTCTCTGTTAGTCTTGTGCTTAATCGGACATCTGCAGGTTCGCACCGTACTAGTACAATTCGTACAACGTACTAGCACACCGTAATAGTACTATTAGTACAGTTTTAGTGGAAGTAGAAAACTTAAGCGTTTGTATTGATATTACCAACATTAATGAAACGGAATACTAATAATTGAATAAATTAAAATATGTAATTAAAAAAAAGTGTTATAGTTTTTTTTTAAATATAGATGGCTTTGTATTAGGCAGTTACTTTTCTTCAGTATAGAAATAATTACACAGTTCTTGATTATTTTTAATGTGTTATCCCTTTCTGAATCCCATAAACCCTAACAGTTTGACTTTTAAATACGATTTTTTAGATTACTTTACACTCAATTTTTAAGCATACTATTTGATTTTCCTTCATACTTTACAACCCAACGTATTGTACTCGTAGTACAGCCAGTATCGCTGTCCCTTTTACTCTCACACTGTTTACCAATACGGCACAATAAAGCGGAGCATTAATAGTACGTCGCACAGCGAACGAACGGAGACACTAGTAGCCAAAGTAAACAATAGATAGTTTTAGTACTGGCTTGAAGTTGACACTGTGTACTAATAGTGCAAAATGTCCGATTAACAGCTGCCTTTCGGAAACATTACTTTTAGTACAACACCCAGTACTAGTACCTATCAGTACATCGTACGTGTACTACCCAAGACTAGTCTCTGTCAAAAATTTGATGGTTAGTGCATGCGTACTTTGACTGCGTTGTGCGCGGCACAATTTTAATCTCCTGCCACTGCGCTGTGCGCCAACCCATTTTGAAAGTGCGTTGGCAGATCCGGCGCAATGAACTGAGTTGGCGCAATTGCGCGGCGCAGCGCAGTGTTACCCATGTCTAAATTTTAACAGCCACTGCTGGACAGAAGCCTCTCCATAGAAAGGAGGTTTTGGCCTACTATACCGCGCTGGCCATACGGGTTTGTATAGGGTTAGTGTCAAGTTCCGCGAGGGGGCGGCGTCTGCGTGTGCCGGACGTCGCCTAAAGAGAGGAAAAACATTTTTTGAGACAGGGCCCGCAACAGGAGCGGGCCGGCGCTGGGAGGGGTCCAGAAGGCGATAACCACCTGGACCCCTCCTAAACTGGAAGCGCAAAGAAGGCACACCGTGTGGTTTTAGTCGGTTCGAGTCCGACACACCGCCCCGCCGAACGAGAGCCCCGGCGGGGTGACGGTCCGAGGGGATTTCCACACGTTAAAAAATAAATAAATGGGTTAGTGTCAAGTTGTTCTGCTTAATTTTTTCCCTTAGTCTACTCACGACACCCACGTGATGAATAGGGGTGGTGACTCTGTATTCTTAATCCGTCACCACACGGACCAATACGTAATAGCATACTACAGTGTAATGCAGTAGTAGTGTGTATGTGTGTAGTATTGTAATGAAGATAAGTCATAACGCGATGTAGTTGTTCTGCATATTAGGTATACCCCGCGAAAAGGCTACGACTAAACTACAACTTGCCGAATATAAATTGTTATAGCTATAGCTAATAGCTATAGCTAATAACAAGAAAGCAAGCCTGACTCCGTCATTCGACTTCTCAATGACAAGTCAGTAGTGAGATATAAGAAATACTTAAATATTGTTCAAAATTCCAATAATTGTATTTAATCTAAATGAAATGTATCGCGTATCTCCAAAAACAAAAGTAGGAGGAGCTTCTTTACACAATAAAACAACATACTTAACATTAAGAAAAATATTTAATTAAGCTTTAATATTATGACAACTACGGAAGTAAGAAAAAAAGCATAATATAAAAGCATCTTATTTAAGAAAAAAAGCATACAGCTTTTATTTTAAAGCCTGTTTAATATTCACGGTAGGCACACTTACTATACTTTAAAATTAATACTAGGTTTTATATTCTCAAATGACATGCCACAGTCCCCGCCAACATCGGATAAATTTCGCGCTATGGTCAAGTTTCGTATGAATAACTTTATAAAAAGGTTTTTATTCATATTTAGATAAAACTGTGAAACTTCAATTTCATGGTGGTGGTACAAAAATAAGTGCATTAAATAATCTAACATTACAGATATTTAAGGATATCAATGCCTTAAAGGGATATTATATAATACATGACTATGTTCCTAATTTATTTATGAACAAAAGCTTTATGTAGGTAGATCATACAATAGTGAAAAAAAAACAACATTTAATTTTAATGCTAAGTTATAAAATAAAAGCAAGCCATTCATTCGTTAAAGCTATCACCGCAATTAGATACCGTGTAACTAAAATGGTGCCTAGTTATTTACTATTTAAATGTAGGTATATAATTATATATTTACGTGTTATTTATTTGCTATTTTACCGTTCAACGCAAATGAATGATATAATAACAGGCATGTTATAACATAGGCTTAATTAATTAACAAAAAGTAATTTATCAGGTTTAAGCTTACTAATGAACTAGAAATTTAGAAATAGTCATAGCTGACCTTCGATCAAACAAATGAGTTTATTTGATCGAAGTAGCTAGCTTACTCTTTATAAATGGAGAATTACTTTATAGTCGTATGGCACGTTTGTACTGGTTGTAAGTCGTAAACACTTATTCCGTGCTGCAGTGCAGTGCGGTGGTGCAACACTATCGATCATCTTGTGATTAATCACTTTCGCCAATCGCTATATTCTTTACTAATATTGATGACATTAAGGGCAGAAATAGTTATATTACCTAGTACTGGCTGACCTGCAAGACTTTCAAAAAGGAACAGATTATCACCGTGTTTGCATCACTTTTCATTGGTGCTTGGCTCCTATTGGTCATGTTTATGTTATATAGCCTAAACTTTTCTTCTCGACATATGGGCTATCCTACTTAAAATAATTTTTCGATTCAATCCAGTAGTTGCTGATATTAGCGCGTTCAACCAAGCAAACAAACAAACTCTTCAGCTTTATAATATCAGTATAGATGGTTCTTTTAGCTAGGCTTAGAACTATGAAAAGAGATATAGATATCTAACCTATGTAAATATTCATTTTTTTTATTCAAAATACACCAACTGTTACAAGAAATTTTCAAGTTTGAATCCACATTCTTTGTCAATAAAATAATCGTAATACTATTGTGTTTCAGTTTCATTATCTGACCTATTTCAACAATTCGAAGTCTATTATCGCGTGTTTTTCTTTAGTTTTTCTACTTAAATTCTTTGCAGGGTTCATCATAAGCCGATATTGATGAAAAGTGTGATTTCGCACAGAGTTAAGTTACGGTATTTTTACACAATTGTCTTGGTATTTATTGTTGTAAAAAGTTCGAGATTTTGATTTTAAAACATACCAATCATAACGTTTTTTCATGTTGTGCAATTTTAAACATAGTAATCACTGAGACATCGCACGCTCGGTGCCTGCTGGTTACTTTCCATTGATCCGATTAAATCCATCATATTTTATTTATATCCACAGTTACTATTCTATAACTACAACTTATACTACGAAAATGCGAACAAAAACACACAACAATTTAATACTCCTTATTTACTAACTACTTAACATAATACAGGTACCTATCGATGTAAGTAAAGTCCGTCTAAAGCAGCTCCATCCACAGGGATTACAGAAATGTTGTATTTAATGACATAATTTAAAAAAATATGGTAGATATTTTTCCTTCTAGTCGACGCTACAGTTTTTCACAAGATATATGCGTTTCCAACTTTAAATACTTATATTTCATCAATTGAATAAGATTTAATCACTTGATCAAGCTTTACTTAGCGAAATTTTGAGGTGTTCTCGTCATTATTTAAAAACTTAGAACACCATTCATGCTCATACCTATAAAATAAACCAAAAACTGCTACAATTAACAATCTTTTGTTTTGCATGTCTTTAGTTTTCATGACTATAGACAAACATTATCATAGAATGACAATAGACAACCCTTATTAAAACTTAGATATTATTTGCAGTAGAGAAGTTAGTTATGAGCATGTGTGTAGATTTTTTTTATTGAGGAGACCACATTCTAGACTAGGCATTCCTGTCTTTCTAAATATCTACATAATAAATACAAAATACACAATAGAAGTCGAACTATATAGGTTATGATACTTAATATACAAATGTCTTAAAGTATTCTTCTTCATGTTGTTCGTTGCTCATCCTGCAATTGATTTGACTAGCAATTACAACGTGATACGTCCTTTTGTTCATGAGAATTCTTTGGCTCAAACATGTCATTTTTCAGTTCTGTAAATAAAATACTAGATATAGATATATAATATAATATAGATATAAGTTTAATGAATATACAAAATATATGTATGGGTAGGCACCCAAAGTTTAATAGTGACTGTCATCACACCTACACAACCCAAGTACCAGGCGAAATCGAAGTTCTGTAGAAAGACTGTTGTTGGACTTTCAGGTCTCCAACTAGATGTAACGATTGCCACAGATGTTCATATGGCAACCGGGATCTATGATTGCTTAACTTTGCAATGTGTTTACCTACTCGATTACCACTTAGCCACGAGCCTCTAATATGCTTTATCTCACTGTTGGAATAAAATAAAATATCGAGCGATGCCTTCGAGCTATTCTTTATTCATATATAATATGTGGGTACCTACTTGTCTTCGTGATAAGTCATGTAAATTAAAATTTTCGTGTTATATAGGTAAATTACCGGTATTCACTGTATTTCCCTTAATCTGAGCGCTGAGTCGTCAGTTGATATCCTCGTGTCTTCAGTGGGGGCTGTGCTCGTTGTGGTCCACTTGGCAGTACGCGTGTCGGGCTCGGTTCGCTTTCCGAGAGTTATATTGAACCTGGGGGGAAAATTTAGAACAATAAAGTAAAACGATGTTCCACTATCATTCTAACTACAGTTGTCTCAGACTGAGGCTATCTTCTTAGGCACTTTTTCATGTGAAACGTCTAATGCGGTGTGTCACACCGGCAGTTTTCATGGCGACGCATCGCCTCGCTATGTGATAGTATATGTCACATGTAATGCCATGCGCAAGAGACTCTGTTCATGGTTTCTACAAAATAATTTTAATCTTTGACATCTGTCAGACGTACCGCGATCATTCAATTATTTTATAATTTAACAACTAGACACGTAAAACTCTTTCTATCCATAAATGACATATAAATGGAACTAAAATGATTAAAAAGTGGTCGTGTTTAGAATGTTATCGAAGAATGTCCGGTATTTATGATGGCAACTACGTTATCTTGGTTACACAGGCGATCGTCGTTTGCTGTTTCACCAGTTCGTAGAAGAGCCTTCGCAACTTATGTACACTATATTATAAATGTTCCACGCGGCCACGTATATGGGACACGAGATTATTTACCTACATTGCCCGCTGTAGAGTGTTGTACGTTAATGTGAAATATGTTTTGAGGTAAACACTTATTTATATTATGAAGATCAGATCTAAAATCGATCCCGACGAAATAAATAGAACTATACACGCTCCAACATGTTAGTACAACAGAATGAAACGAAATTAAAACAACTCCTACAGCGTGAATAATGTTCAAAATATTCTTTTTAACCGACTTTAACAAAAAAAGATTTTTTTATGTTTGTTATCTCTTGTTTAATTAGTCATTTATGAACGATTTGGAAAATTCGTTTTGTTTAGAAGAATGTTATCGCTCATTTGCTACACGGTCGACCTATCTCTAAATTGATGATTTTTTAGTTAATAACACAGTTGTGCAGAAAAAATAGCGCTCCGTTTACTGTCAAAACCCTATTTCTCTAGTCTTTAGTTAAAGAGACAGAGCAAATATTCAGTTGTGCTGTTATTATTATTATTATTGACGTGACAGCGTCTTATAAATTGGTTTGCCGGGTGACACTTCAAGAAACTGCGTTACGCTCCGCTCACGTTATGCGCTCACAATGAGAGCGAGTGAGAGGCACGCGTCCCTTCCAATCGGGCATGGTTAGCCCGCCTAAGAGCGAGAGAGACAGACATAGTCGTTGTCACGTAAAACTTTCGCCCGTATACCGACTTTACAGGCAACCAATTTTTATTATACTATTTAATTATTATATATATATATATGCTGTTATAGCACTGTCTCTTTCGTTCAGGTTACTCGCGGCTACAATGACATTATTTTGTTGCGATGTGACAGTGCGAGCGGTAGGCGGTAGGTACTTGTGCTTTTGAAGAACGACATTTCTTGAGTAGTAACGCGTTTGTCGGTAAGTTACTACACTTTATTTTAATATATTTTCATTTACAGGAATAATGTGTAGTATAAATGTCTCGTTAACGCAGATAATATTTGAATAAATCAGTATAGGCTTATTTCGTGTTAAGATGATGTTGCTCAAAAAATTAATACCCATTAGAGTATTATTACTAATTATGACGTTGTTGTTAATAAAGAAAACGATTATTGAATATTACAAAAAAAAAACAATACTTATGTCATTACATTTAAAAATAATTTGCGTTATTTATTGTAAAATATTACAACATTTTGTAATAAAACGTTTAAGTCAATTCGAGTCACGTTTTCTTATTTATGTTGTTCTCATAATTTATTATAATTTTTTGCATTGCACCTAAAGGTGATAATGGTGTTGCCACGTGTTTCCATAGGCAAAACAATTGTAGCATTAATAAACAATCATAATAACTAATCCAATGAACAAGTTACGTCCAATGAAACCAGTATGTACTAACTTTTGTTTTCTGTTGTAATTATTGTTGTTCTCGCGTATCTACATAGAATTAAACTATATAAATACAACTTTTCAGGTAATGGAAGATCCAACCAAACAACACAAGAAATTAGATCTTTATCAAATGGGAGTAGTTCTTCCACCAGCTCGTCATCTGATTCAGATTCATCAGATGATACGTTTATTGAAAGTTAGTAATTTAATTATTAGTGAATCGAATTTGCTTACAAAAATAATAAATTAAATATTAAGTTTATATTTATTTTGTAGATAGTGACGACTTGTCAAAGATCCAATATATCGATATCAATATATCCACCTGAGGAACTTCTTCAGCAGAATAGGGCTGAGTTAATCGAGACAATTGACTATTCAAATCCATTACCATCTACTTCAACGGCAGATTAAATCATAACTATTTCCGGACCCTCTCTTCTGCAGCGCAGTCATGAATTGCTAGCTAAACAGACAAATGACAATTCCATTGCTAATAATAATGTGATGAATAATAATTCATATGATTCTATTGTCATGTCAAACTTCAACATAAAATAGGATCATAATTTCGTTTCCTGCAAGTCCGAAGGCAAACCTAGAAAGAAAACGTAAAAGGAATAAAGCAAATTGGCACAGAAATGAATGAAGAAAATGCTACGGAATACTGGACAAGCTTATGAAACTGCTAGCAAGAAAATAAAAGAATAGAACCATGTGGAGATAAATGTCGGTTAAAATGTCAATCTAAACTATCTAAAGATGAAAGGATGACATTTTTTAACGACTATTGGGCATTAGGGCATAATAAAAAACAATGGGAATACATTTCAAAAAGTATGATGATCATTACATTCAAGACAAATATTTACTCAAGAATATAACATATCTTTTTTTAGCCCAAAAAAGAATATGTGTGATGTAGTGATTTGATGCGATGCGAAAAGGATATGTGAGATGATGTGTCTTTGAGAACTCTTTTTATTTTACAAGAACTTTTACAAAGAAATTATCAGAAACAAGAAAAGGATTGACATAAACGTCAAAAAAACTTATGATCGTAAGCCAGGCATATCGGACAGAAAGAAAGATTTGTTAGGCTTGTTAAACAGAAATCGAATTTCACAGTTCTATGCTCGATTTTAAAATTCTTTATGGGATTTTTTAAATATTATTTTGAATTTTATGTTCAATTTTTGTTAAAGACTGTAATTTTATTATTGAGGCTGATTTTGTGATACTTTTCTATAAAGATGACTAAATAATGTAGGAGAGTTGATTTATAAGACTGATGGTGTGCCATTTTAATTCGATAACTTAGTTAGATTTAAGTGTTAATTACCTACTGTTAATTTTATTACGAAAAAGATATTAATGTAACTATATTTTAGTTTACTTTTGTTTCGGATATTAAGAAAAGTATTTTCAAAATTGACATATTTTGTTATTATTACTATCAAGTTTACCTTAAATGTAAAATAATTATTGAGTGTAACGTCATAAATCATAATACTACTTTCTTTTCTATATTTATCAGCAACAATGACATAAGTATTTCCTTGCTGCGAAAAAAATAGCACAGTAAGTATATCATGTGTACTTTTTAAACAAAGTTTAATATTTTAACAGAAAAGTATACCAATCGCACAATATTTTTGTCTAAATAAGTTTTCTAAAAAGCCAATGCTTATCGTATATATTTAACTAGAAACTTTAAAATTGCTCTCCTGTAAAATGATGTCTTTTGAGAAATGTCGACCTTGTTGCAAATGAGCGGTATGTCCTCCTATTTTGTCCCATGTAAATTTGAAGAAAAATTTTGGAATGGGAAATGTAGTTTATTAAAATTCATCATGATGTTTTCGCATTGAAGTCTGAATAGTTCAAATATACCTATGTACGTCTAAATTAACAGTATCACTGTTTCTACATTAATTCATGTCAACATTGACACAATATGATTAATAATTCAGTGTCGGTTTACTACGAAAGGGTTATTATAACGACAGACGAGACATTTAGACTTAATATGTCATTTAGTATTTTTAAGATTAATTTCTTGATACTCCGAACAACGCGGTTGGAAAACATGAAAATTATTGCTACTTTTAAATCATATTCATTTGATGAAGTTATTGGTTTTAGTAACAGCGGCTTCGCATGTGATTGTGATTTTTTTTTTCATAGACAAAGATAGATGAAAATTATCAATAATTAAAATCAGTCAAAATACTTTTTATCAGATTACGACCTTTTCTTTTAGATTTAGAACTCTGGCGAGTCTTGCACTAGCGTTATAATAATAATTTAGTAGCAGTGGTTTTGTATACCAGTCACAGTTGTGATGATATCACATGATGAAATCACAATCACATGATTAATCACATTTGATTGTGCTTTTATTCCATCCCTAGTGTCTGCATTTAACACCCTGTTGCATAATTTTGCATTTGCCCTGTTAGTGTTAGTCTAGTAGTTAGTGACCCTTACTGATAATTCAGAGGTCGTGCGTTCGGTGACCACCCCGAATAAATATTTGTGTGATGAGCACGATCTTTTGTTCTGTCTGGGTGATTCCTAAAAAAACTCATTCTCAAAAAATTGCTAACTTGTATTATTAATAATTTGGTCACACGGTAACGAGTAGTTTACGTAATAGTAAAGTCTGAAACTTTCATTAGTGACACGAAAAAAATGTACAAGATCAATATATGCTACTAATATTAATAAAAATTAAAAAACTAAAATTCAAAATCTTAAGATAAACGATTAACATAAAAACTGAATTTTTTTTATAGGTGTAGGCAAAACACTAAAGTCAAATTGAATTCTTAGCAATTTATCAAATTGAAAGGGTGCACTTTTTCATTTTAAAATAAAAACACGTATTTTATGAAAGAGTTATGGTATTTTTATTGGATTGTAAAGAAGACATGTTCCGATTAAGTACGGAATAAAATATTCGGCAAATGGCCTGGTGACAGGCCATTACTCTTTTCATGAAATTTACCTCGACTTTTACACAGAGATGTGGCTGTATCTCACCGATGATCTGGATCTCTGATTTGAGCTCAGGAATTGTTTCTGGTTTATTAGCATAGACCCGAGATTTCACACAAAAAACCGCACGGCGTTAAATCACACATCTTGGTGGCCAGTTGACATCAGAAAATCGTGAGTTAATGTGTTCTGGAAATCGTTGCTGCAATAAGTCGATTGTTTCATGCGCGGTGATGCAGATGGCGTCGTCCTGCTGAATCTACAATTTATACAGATCCATGCCGTCCAGTTGAGGCCACAGAACTCCGTTATCATATTCCTGTAACGAATGCCGTTCACAGTCACTGTAATTTCGGCCTCGTCTTCAAAAAACTAAGGCCCAATCACGCCGCCTGACCAAAATCCGCACCAGACAGTTGCTCGTTGTGAGTGCATTTGTTTCTCATAGACTGCATGAGGATTTTTTGAGTCCCAAATTTGTCAATTTTGTGTATTCACGTAGCCGTTTATGCGCTTCATCGGATAAGATGACTTTTTTCTAAAAATTGGCATCAACTTCACTTTGCTCCATTACCCATTGAACGAAAAGCTGGCGCTTTCCATGTTCTGCTGGTTTTAGCTGAATCTTGTACGCATGAAAGTGGAGGTCTTTTGTCAAAATTCGCTGCGTAGTGCTTCTTGAAATTTGAAGTTGTTGAAAACGATGCCGAATTGATGTTTTCGGGTTTTCGGTAACACTATCGTTTACAGCAGCAATGTTTTTAAGAGACCGACCTATACGTTGACGTAAAGAATTTGTAATATCAATAATCGACCCAGTTTCTTTTGGACCTCTCTTCGAATTGTTGACACATTAGCGTAACTTTCCCTATTTTTGTAATAAGTTTTCACAACTAAAACGCGCCGTTCTTTCGAAAAGCGCCCAGGTTTTTATAATCGGAATAAACATAGGTGACAGCTGTCAACTTTTAGAGTTGCCACTTGCAGGAAAAAAAAAAAGATTCTAAATTTAAAAAGTACACTCTTACTGAGACACCCTTTATTAGCAGCAACGAGAGAAATAACAGTAAAATTAATTTAGACACGAGTGAACAAGCTGAATAAGTGATTAATATAGTTGACGTACCTCTTCCGCACCAAGTTGCGAACCTTCTTCTTCCACACGAAAATAAAGAAGACCAGAACGCCGAGGCCTATGTTCGAGATGTCAGTCACGATCCAGTACCAATTGGAGCCACCTACCGCGAAGCTGACTAGTTCCACGGTCCAGTTGACACCCATCACCATGAATAGCTTCAAGTAGAGGCCGTATCTGAAAGTTGATATGGTGTAATTTAAAGGACATGAAATTACAGAAGTTTCTTAATTTATATTCTCTAATAAGATGGGAAACTAGAACGAGATGAATGCGAGTACCGTCACATATAGACACTTAGATCAGCCGTATCCTCAATTAAATGTGAAGTTGATGACACTCTCCTTTAGTAGAAGATAAAACTACTTTTACAGCTTTTCAGTTTAGTTGCGTCCTACCTCTCAGATACCTACTAAAACTTTGTGTCTGGCAGATATTTCTAGTAGCATAATAACTTTTGTAAGTCAATGGGGGTTTTCTTAACACTACGATACAAGGAACAGAGATAGGAGAGAAATACTAAGCAGTAAAATACATATAACGTAAACAGCAGTATAAAAACGCGTAGCAGTCGTTTATGCTATCATGAAAATGTTTTACCTAAATAGAAAGTCAAAAGCAATCAATTGCTCTGATCATAACATAAGATTGAAAGATGTAAAAGTTAAATAAATTATCTAGTAATAGAAATACCTAATACCATGTACGAGTATATCCTGGACCTTGGTTACCTACGGTGAGGTTTCTGCTGGAAGACAATTAACGCAAAACTTAAAACAGCCGCTTTTTATTTAATCAGAAACGCAATGGTGATTTGTGAACATTGTGCTCTACTTTATTAAACTTTATTTTTACACATTCGAGGGGTGCAGTAAAATCTTACAAAGAAATAAAACTGCGACGGCGTACATCATAAACACCAGATGAGGGGTGTAATGGTGGTATAGTAGGCCAAAACCTCTATTAAAAAACTAACAGGCCTATGTCCAGTAGTGAATTACTAAAGGCCGTTGATGACGAGGAGAGCTTTTCTTCTACTATAAAATATGAAAGACTATATTGTACATGCCTATCTTTTTTAATTTGGTGTGTTCATTTAAAGTCAAGCAATCAAACTGTTCGGGTTTATTCGGGACAAAAAAGTAATAAAAGTTGAACTTTAAAAATGTTCTTCTACAAATGAAAATTTATGAGGGGATAAAAATAGCCGAGAACAACTTTTGGAACAATAAAAGTAAGAAGTAATACGAGTATCTTTTGATATATGGTTAAACACACGCCTACGCTTCATGGAAACTTGGAAATCAACTTGAATTGGTTTTTCTTTACGATGATCCATAAATGTTTTCCACGGTTACAACACATGATTACTTTAGCTATGATCATTTGTTAATGGGAATGTAATGTAATCAATGTAACAAAATGAGGTCAAAGTGTGTAGTGCGTAAAAATAAACTCGTACGCCCACGCAATATAGCCTGTGATTCATAGAAATAATCATTTTATCTAAACATAACGGATTTACTCAGTAGTAAAAACAGACAAGATAATATTGAAATTTTCTCTGCAATTAACGAAATATTCGCTGGTGGTAATAATAATAATACTTAACTTCACGTATCTCACAAACGGCTTGCCGGTCCCAAACTGGGCAGAGTGAGCCAGTACTATGGTAACCAGACTGCTAAAAAACATACACTTCTAAATTCATTCATACAGATAAATTATACCTAGACACAGAAGAAATGATCGTGCTTATTACACAATTATTTGTCCTGGGTGAGAATTAAACGACATCCGGTTTAGCAGACAGGGTCACTAACCACTAGCAGACAGGGATCAACAAGTCAGTCGGCCAGTTATATATGATTGTTAATAAAACAAATACCTCAATAAAAAAACATTAAGGAATACCAAAGTTTCTTTCTTTCTAGGTTACAAAGTTGACAAACAAATCTGTTTGGAGGAGATTACACTCAAATTCAACATAAAAACGACATTCCATCTACATAGCTCTACTGCTGCCTAGCGTGCCTCGATGCGTTGAGCAAACACTAAAAGGATATGACATAACATGATACCTTGGGAACATAAATTAGAAGTAGTGCTAAGATATTATTTTCTTATTTATGGTTTTGCCTACGCATAGACCATATTTCATCCTGAAATACTTGATGTAAAATGGACGGAGAGGTTTGGATATAAAAAGATTGCTTGGTAATGTTGCAAAGAGTAACAACCAATATTACTCTCTGAAGGAAGCCTAATACAGAGATTAAAGTTATATAAACACGATTCAATTAACTTTTCTCGAGGTATTTGTAAATATTAGGGAATCTGCGCCATTAACTTTTGTAGTAATTTACTGAATAGAAACCTATAGGCTATATTTTATGTAATGTGATAAATTCCTAATATTTATAATATATATAAATAATCATATATGTATATAATAATTTATAATTTTCGAGAAACTTTTTGGAAACTGTGAAACAAAATGTCGCCTGCTTTATTTCCGACCTTTAAACCTTCAAGAAAAGCGTACTTCTTAATTAAAGGCCGGCAACGCGCTTTTGACTACTAAGTTGTAGGCCTTCATAGGCGATGGTATTTACTTTACCATCAGGTGACCTGTGTGCGTTACGTAAATATATTTTTTTGTGTTTTTTTTTACTCATTTCGTTAACCGTGATAAGAGGCAATTATTCAAGATACATTGGATACGTCGCGATTGTATGATAATTAGATGTAGGTGTGGTCAATAGTTTTATAGCAGTTTTTTGATACTCTTTTTCAGTATAACTTTGTTTATCTTTATAATATTACAGGCTACTTAGCTATGAAGTTATATAAAAATAAAGAGAAAACTAAGACAGTTTTTGGAGTTTATGCAGGCTGTTATTGAGTTGGTCTAGGACAAACCTAGCACCCGACAGCTTGGTCCGAAGCTGGTGGACACTGCCTCCGCCCTAGGGCGACTTTTGCCCAATTTGGGCGGGGCCAGTGTTCCCACGAGGCGGCTGTACGCGGGGGTTGTCCGGTCCATGGCGCTTTATGGTGCACCGGTGTGGGTGGCGGCTCTGACCGCCCCGAATAGGGCGCGCCTCTGGCGCCCCCAGAGGATATTGGCGGTCAGAGCCATACGCGGATACCGCACGGTGTCCACCGAGGCGGCTTGCGCCTTGGCCGGAACACCCCCGTGGGATTTGGAGGCGGAAGTGCTCGCCGAAGTTTATCGGCGAGTGGCTGACTTCCGGGCGGAGAGCGGATTTCGCCCTCCGCCCGAAGACGTGCGCGAGTGGCGCGAAGCCGCTCGCCGAGCCACTATGGTGAGATGGTCGTTCCGGCTGGAGACTCCACGCGCTGGCTTCGCCACCGTGGAGGCTCTCCAGCCGGTCATCGCCAAGTGGGCAGGGCGGCAGCACGGGACCCTTTCCTTCCGGCTGACGCAGGTGCTTTCCGGGCACGGTTGCTTCGGAAAGTACCTGTACTCGGTCGCTAGGAGGGAATCGAGTCCCGCCTGCCACCACTGCGACTGCGGTGAGGATTCGGCCCAGCACACGCTGGCGGTTTGCCCCGCATGGGCGACGCAGCGCCGGGCCCTCACTGCAGTCATCGGAGCGGATCTCTCGCTACCGGCCGTAATTCGCTCCATGGCCGGTAGCGACAGTTGTTTTACCGCGGTCGCAACCTTCTGCGGGGAGGTAATCTCGCAGAAGGAGGCGGCGGAGAAGGCCCGGGAGGACGACATCCACTCGGACCTGATCCACCGCCGGCGAACCGGGCGGCGGAGGCGCGCTCACCTGCGCCTCATGCCGCCCTGAGTGTGGCCGCGGGTGGACGGGATGGGTTCTCCCCTCCACCCGCATTAGTTGGCCAGCCGCGAGGGGGCGGCGTCCGCGTGTGCCGGACGCCGCCTAAAGAGAGGGTCCACTGAGACGGAGCCCGCGCCAGGAGCGGGCCGGCGCTGGGAAGGGTCCAGAAGGAGATAGCTACCTGGACCCTTCCTAAACTGGAAGCGCAAAGAGGGCACACCGTGTGGTTTTAGTCGGTTCGAGTCCGACACACCGCCCCGCCGAACGAGAGCCCCGGCGGGGTGACGGTCCGAGGGGATTTCCACACGTAAAAAAAAAAAAAAAAAAAAAAAAAGGACAAACCTAGCACATTCGCACGTTAAAGATCCCCTTAATGTGCGTCTTTACTACTACTTGGTTCCCAATTATTTTTAAGGAATGTGCTAGGCTAAGCTGCCATACGAATATCTGTGGCAACCGTTACTTGTAGTTGGAGCCCTAAAAAGTTCGACAACAGTCTTTCTCCATAACTTCGATATCGCCTAATTCTTAGGTTGTGGAGGTCTGATGGCAGTCACTCCGCTAAAAAAATCTAAGGTCTACCGTGTCGTAGTAGATTTAAAGCCGACCCTAACCTAGTTTGGGGAAAAAGGTCGGAGGAAGAATAAAAAATAATTAATGAAAATAATTAATTTGCAATTTTTAAAGCTTCCAATGCATCGTTTATAAATTGCCAAATAGCTGTTCATTTTTATCTCTTAAAGCTAGTAAAATCGGCCCGTTTTAGGATTCTCGGTGTAAATTTTATTAATTGAATCAATTTACGACGCTTAATTTATCGAATCATGGACTACCCGACTACCCGTAGGTGTCGTAGGTCAGCACGAAGTGCACGGCGACTGTAATACACACGTTATTTAAGTACCCACGTAAAAGTGAATATGTTATACTTTTTTTAAATCCTTTACTATTATTTGTCAATCTATAAGAACATTCGCATATACACCCATTGGGAATAGCTTATACTCGTACTTGTACAGTGGTAAGCAATTTTCAAGGAAAGTTTATTTTACCTCGGAACTACTGCGGAATTTCTAAACTCTGTGCGCATTGCGGATGAAGGCTAAATTAAATAAGTCTCACATCTTCAACAGTAATCAACACACACCGTAAAAATGAAATTTTTCATTTAGATATGTATCTAGAGAGAATTGATTTAATGAAATCGTTCAAATGACTGCATTGCTGATTAGGAATGACCTTGCTAAATATTAGTCAACAAGACTTATCTAAAAAAACATTTTTTTCTTATTTTCACGAACGCTTTGTATGTACACACGGCAAAGGAAATAGCTGGCTCGTAGTACGAAGTATTCGTCGTTTTAATGAACTATAACTTACGAAATTTGTAACTACGAGTAATAACGTAGAATGTTTTTAAAACAATAATAATTGGCAGATGTAGATCGAAGTATGTTTGAAAGTGGAGTCAATTTGACAATCAAATCATCGGCCCCCAAATCCTAAAGCAAAGTGAGATAAATGATTCTGAAATTGTGGCGAATCAGTGCATTCTTGTATCATAGCAACTTTACAGATAAAGATTTAAAGTGTAATGCTATTGTGCATATTGTAAGCAAATGTCATATATTTACTTAAGAAGTCTAGGCTTACATATAATCATTTCAAGAGACTGAAATCCGTCAATGATAACTGCTTTCAGATGGTATCAACGTCCTAAATATATGGAGAACTCGTAACACAATAATAGTATAGTTTATTTTGTGTACAAATATACCACTCTATGATTTTAAAACACATAGATCACAAACCTCTGTTTGTCTCTCTTGAGTTTATCACTCCGCGAGGACTCGGAGCTCTTCAGAATAGCAGTCTCCTGTCTGATGGAACGGATGCGATAGGCAGTGACGGCGAAGAAAATCACGTTACATACGACGAGAACCAGTACAGGTGTAAAGAAATATACCAGGTCGCTCAACCAGTCTGCATAAAAGAAAAAAAATAGGATTAAGACATGATTAGATTAGGCAGATGAAAACGATGACGTCGGCTCTTTTAAGTACAACTACTATGACAAGGTACGGTGTCCTGATCATAGAATTGAGTAAAAAGAAACGGACACAAAGAACACAATGCTGAAAAATTGATACTGTCTTCTTCTTTTTTATTACAAACAAGCAGAGGGGTCATTTGATGGTTAGTCACTACCGCCGTCCGTCCGTGCAACTCAAGAGTGTCAAGTTCGTTGATGTCTTTTAAGGCCCTCTCCGGGTTCATTGTGTTGGGCCTTGGTAATTACACTCACCCGGTAAAAAGTACCGAAAAAATTACTTAACATCGGTTTTCTGTGAGGCCGTGATACAACTCCGGTCGAGCCTGGCCATTTGCGCCAAAGCTCACACGAGGTAAAAAATACAATCAATCTTACATAAATTTACTAAACCTCCCGAAACACTTCATAACCTATAAATCCAGTATTTAAGCTCTAAAGCCATAACAATCGGCAAACAGGGTCAGGCGTCGCCATTTTATTTTATTTCTGACTTATTAATAAGTAAATATTTTGCGTTTACAGAAACAAATGACTGAGAAAACAATTACAACTGATTTATTTCAGTTTACAGGAATAAATGGGATACTATAAACACTAACTATTACAATATAAATACTCAGTCGTATATAAATAGTAAATATGTCAGTCTTTGTTCTTATTTATAGTCCATTTGCGTTAAGAAAATAGTGACACATCGATCCTTCTGAACCCTCACCAATCAGGTTCCAAGCTTTCGATATTTTTTGGACCTTGATTAGTTAGGGCCGGGCTTGATCAATGCGTGTTTATTTTCTTAAAGCGAATGGACTATAAGCATGTAGAATTTTTAATTATAAGTTTCAACTGCTAATCATATAAATGTAAATTTAACGATAAATATCATCAAGTCATTTTTAAGCATTCACGACTGTATACATACATTATATATTTATTAGATGAATAAATCGTAAATCTTGATAGTATCAATCAAGTACGAAATACCTTTGAGTTCTCACCGAACCACCCGTGACCGTTATGCGTGTATTTAATACGAAACTTCAGGTAACCAAAAAGGTCCTTTTTCTCATAAATACTATCGCAAATGTAAAATAAGCACAGAACAAGCAACGTACGGAACATTATTTCGCCTACCAATGCGTCATAAAGTGCTTTGAAAAGAATTCCCTACTGTTTTGAAACCGACATAAGTGAAAGAAAATAGTAGCATCGGCATAAATGTATAGAGCTGTATAAGATCTATTTTATTAATAACGTTTTAACAACTAAACACACACACATATACAAAAATATATATGTGTGTATTTTAAAATATATTTGTGTATGTTTTATCTTGCCTGGAGGTCGAGAGGAGAATGCTTATCGCATTAAGTCCGCCTTTGTACAACATGTGCATTAAGTTTAAATAAATAAATAGATTTTAAAACTATTTATAAACTATCATAGATGCGAAGTCGGGAGCACAATAATTAATAAACAGTTTTTACCAACAAACCAGCACCGCCTGGTGCCGAAGTCAGGTCTGATGACAGAGTTCGGCAGATCACTGAATTGCATAGCCGCAGTCAGCGCCGTGAGAAGTAGAGGGACCCCCCAAGCGTAAAGCCCATAAAAGAGGAATCGTCTGGTGTCTCTTCGTTTTGTCGTGCTGCCTCCACGGTATCCACTACTGAAGATATAATTTTAAATTATTATTTAATAAAAATATTTGTTTAAAAACAGACTGCATTTAAACTAAACTGCTTATTTTCTTAATTTTTCCTTAAAAACTATTTGCATGATCTATAAATAAATAAAAATAAAATTGCAATAAGACACTTAATATGAAAGATAACCTGAAATTTATTTTCCTAATTATTATAACTAACCTACGACAACTTTGTGTTGAAAGACAGAATTATTTTTGTAATACTAGTAATATACTTTGTAATACTTTTGTAGTACTAACTCTTTTAGTTAGGATTTTTTAAAACAACATGCTTGCATTTAATAAGCACCTATATATTTAAACAAATCATAAAACATTTAAAAAGCTTAAACATTTTATAAATATATCTTCTGAAGTTTCCAGTACTGCTGGCGTATTTATACCAGATTAGGGAAACAAGAAGAAGTGACGGGCAACGACTTTTAAATGCACATGTCTCTCATTTTCTTCTTTAAATAAAACCAAACAAAACATAGTAAATGCTTTAAGTTAGAGCTTTATTTTTTATTTTAAAAAGGAATGAGCCTGGAGAATAACCACAAAATATAAATCAAATGTAAATGTTTAACAAAAAATATTACACAGATAGCTATTTTTCACAATACTGAAAGCCGAATACTGAAAGCCGAATCATGATGAGGAAAAAGATTGTGTTGTCTCTTGTTCACTCCATAACGACAGAGATATGCTACATGAATATATGTACAAGGCGCAAATGGTTTTTGCGGTGATACGAGTCTTTAATAAAACATGTCACAGTTGGCCACGACTTGTGAGACTCTATGGCCGATATTCAATAGATACACGTTCAGTGAAAGGAATATGTGACCCTATACTTAAAAAAATAAAGAAATGACATATTAAATGTATTGAGCGTATTTGACCCTGTAGTCAAGTTCTGTACTATATGCGTTATGTAAATATTTTTGTCATGAATACACTTACATAGATATTACGTTTAAAATGAAACAGTTTTACTTAAGTGACAAGGGCCCCGTCGCGTCAGCAACAAAAGGAGCAGTCCATTCCCGAAATATCAGTCATGAATTTTATTATTTTAGATTATTTCATGAACTTGATATCTTCAAGGCACAAAAATACACTTTTCTTTTAATACTGTAATTAAATGGAACAACCTATAATTTTCTTACACTCTTTCAATGCGCTATATCAGGCCTGCGTGATATTTTTCTCTTTTATTCTACTTAATCAAGTTACAAAATAACAGATATAACGACATCATTTTCTTCACGTAACTAGTTATTTGGTTGCTCGTTATTGTAAATAAGTGACGTCAAATAATGCCTGACTATGTATATAAGAAAGAAGAAATGAAGCCCAAATTCGATCTAAGTGGCGTGCAATGGGAGAGGCGATTGGCTGATGATGATGTGTATACAGAATTGAATGGCGATAGTTTGAGTATTTAAGCGTAGGAAACAAGTGTTTCATCAGTTTATACACACTGTTTTTTTTATAAAGTTTTAACATCCTATGCTGCGAGTTTTTTTTTTGTTTTTTTTTACATATCTATTAGCAGACAGCCTCTAGCTTTAGTTTATTTTACTAGAATTCACTCATTATCAGAAACTATTTTTAGGTCATTGAAGGGTTACTTGTGTTTTTAACTGACAAAAAAGAATGACAGAGTTATAAAAGAGTTCGGCTTACAGCTGAAGGATCAGTAAGCAGTCACTTGTTTTTATCGAATTGTAATGAAAATTTATAGAGGCATTTAAAGTTATCCTCTAGATGTTGATTGCAGCAATATACCGTTATATTCACATAAAATCACCATCAAAGTCATCATTTTAGTCTCGTTAATAGACATATTTACGGCAATAAAATCGCTATTAAAACTGTGTACGCAACAATACGCTTTATCTGATGATGTTGTAACCAGTTAAATGCCGAAATAAAATATACTTTGTTATTGTCACTACCACAAATACTTTAGAGAATTTAAATATAAAAGTGTTACTCTAAATTTATTTAATTGCCATAGTTAAATTATACTGTTATTCGAGATTAAAAAAGAGATTGTAGCGAAATCTACGACGTTGTCTTCAACAAGTTACGAAGCGTAGACTTATAAGTGAAAGGTCACATTTATACCGTTGCACGTAGCAATTTCGTAGCACACAACTTTATTATCAAGCTGATTTTCATACAACTTTAATAAACCTTTTTAAAAAAACTTACTGAAAACAGTACGGTTTTCTTTAAATGATAATTTCTCGTAATAAATATGAAATTTTAAAATAAATTCTTTCCTTTTTAATAACCTTATTACAATGAGTGGTCTGCTTTTTATGAAATAGGAGGCATCTGATGGTAAATGACTACTGTAGCTCATGGGCACTTGCAAGTCTAGAGATCCCAGTGAATTGCCGCCTTTTGAGTACTAACCAGGGTTTTTTTAGAACTAACACACAAGGCCATCCAGATTCAAACTGAGCAGAGCTTGTACTATGAAAGCTAGATTGACTTATCGAATTATTATTTTTGTAAATACATACATATTACACATAGATAACACTCAAACTCCGAAACAAATATTTGCAGAGCATACAAACATTTGGTCCGACCTCGGGATCGAACCCGAGACCTCAGCGCAGCAGTCGTATACGATACCCCTGCACCACCGAAGCAGTAAATTAGGGCAGGGTTGCCCATAAGTATCATGGCACTCCCATCGTGTGTACTTGTTGCATTACTTTGTATCACAATGTATGTTAGTAATCAATTCGTTTCTAGGACCGCGTACAGCACTCTTATTGCACTTTATACTGTTTAGTTATTTCAATAAATAGCTATACGTTATGGCAGTTGTTACGAGTTATAATACTAAATATTTACTGAAGCCAAAAATACATGCTCTATTGCCTGTTGAACATTGCTTTCAAGTGTCTCATTTTCTTGGGTTTTCGTGGTTCTTCTTGGGTTCAAACCCTAACACTGACAATGAACCCACTTCTGACACAAACTAGTAACTTGTTAGTCAAATAAGTATAATAGGTATTTTTGTTTAAAAAAACGGTTATTTTATTCTTCTTTTATCAATTATGATCACTCAAAAAGCGATATTGCGCTGCCGTTGTCTTCACTTGATGGCTGTCGGTAAACCCAGTGACAGAACTTCGAATATTTAAGAACCCAATTGCAAACTAGACACATTCGTATTTTTTTTTACCTATAAGCCACACAGATTCCGATAGCTTATTTAAGTAAATCTTACCTTTGCGACTGTTGGCTTAAACTTCCAAATCTTCATGAGGTATGCATTAAAAAATAAACTTAGTAAGATTACGAATAAGACTAAAATTATCCGTGCCGTTACGGCATCGTTGGCTTCATGAGCGTATAAGAGAACAAAATCTAACAGGTCTCTACATTATAAACCATTGTTAATATCTAATGTCAAGGCTATGTATTTTGACTATGTAACTTCTTAAATCAAGTAGATAATATGTATTTTATAAGCATTCCCATCCAAAAAAACCTACTTTTATCTGTTTATCTGGAATCTCAAAAAGTTCGAGTTTTTACCATCAAACTCCTTGGTATAGTGGGTAACTAAGTAAGCTAACTTTTTGGTATAGTACCCATCCCTAATACTTGTGAAATAATAATTTGACAGACATGTTAATCTAATACCTTTAAACAAGCAATTCTTGAATATATATATATATATATATATATATATATATATGATCTGAATCTCGGAAACGGCTCCAACGATTTTCATGAAATTTAGTATACAGGGGGTTTCGGAGACGATTAATCGATATAGCTAGGTTTAATTTTTAGAAAATTTACCATAAAAAATACCACGCAAAGCATCGGTCATCGGTGATACGAAAATAGAATTCAATGGAAAACATTCAGAAAAATCGCAAACAGCTTTCAATCAGTTTATTTTTCTTTTGGGTGCTATATTTCTTTTATCATTTTTGAACTAATCTGCAAATAGTCATATAAACCAGACTGGTTTGTCTTTTTTTAATAAGACGATACTATTAAAAGCCCTTTGCCCCAGTAGTAGCTAACCTAATTTATAAAAACGATGCGTGGTAACCGTATAGGTTTGACGTCATTATCATCTATATAAAAAAAAATAATACACGTGTAAATCTATAGATTTACACGTGTATATTTTTTTTATATAGATAGGTTATATTATAATATAGGTTATATTATGATATAACCTATCCATATAAAAAAAACTTGCGTAAAAAGATATCTAATTGAAATCTTATCGTACATTATCTTCTATCTAGTTTGTTGCTTTTTAATTACTTACATATCTCACACACGGTTGTCTAAATCCAAATTACCCAAAGCCTTACTTTTGTATTTCTTTGTACATACAATATGTACAAGATAATCATAATAATCTATTATATAATAACTAAGAACAGGAGCAATTACAGCTAATATGTAATCTTACCAAAACCAAATAAATATAAAATAATTTAAGAGGTTTGAGCGAGTACTAAATAAAAGCAAAAGTATTGTAATAAGACAAATAAATACACACCTACCTTTAACATTTGTACCTGATCTTAAAATTTTAAACTACTTGGTTTTAAAGCTAAGACTACAAACTACTTTTCAACCTACAAAGTAAGTGTATTACTAAATTAAGCTACGGTATTACGAATAGAAAAATCGCAGGTATTTTATTAACTAATAAAACTAACACAGCTCATTAAAGGAGGATATAAAAAATGTAGGAAACATTGAATCGAATTGTTTTTAGAGACTACAAAGTAACTGAAAATAAATAGAACAATGTGTTACTCTAAGTTGACTTTCCACTGTCACGTATTTACGTACTAAATTGGCACTTTTAAGCTTCTGTGTAAATTTTGTTTACGTAAAAACTATACTAAATGTGAAAAAGGTAAAATCCTCTATATAATAGGAGACAGTAGTCTATGGGAAGGCACAGACGAAAG